TATATTATAATCTAATAATATAAAATAAATCTATTCGCTAATTAATCTTTTTGAAATATCGGCGCACAATTAGAACGATTTGCTAATTAATTTTCTGAGAATACTGGTCAACATTTAAAATGGTTCAGTGACTAACACCTGTAGGCGTTTCTGCAGCTAAACAGCCTCCGCACACGTGACCATTAACTANTATATATTATAATCTAATAATATAAAATAAATCTATTCGCTAATTAATCTTTTTGAAATATCGGCGCACAATTAGAACGATTTGCTAATTAATTTTCTGAGAATACTGGTCAACATTTAAAATGGTTCAGTGACTAACACCTGTAGGCGTTTCTGCAGCTAAACAGCCTCCGCACACGTGACCATTAACTAAAATGCTTTCGTCAGAACGATATAATCGCACGATCCCTTCCAACTACTCTACAGGTTGATGCTAAGCAACCTCATTAATGAATTATCTAACAGTAATCAAACATGGTAACATTCGTTGCCCCGCACGCGATGCCAGTTTCAGTTCCGATACATTTGCTGATTAAACGAACGGAGAGAAAATAATTGAACTGTACACCACACGGTGGTGTGCAAAATGATCATTACATCTAATGAATTCCTATCTTTTAAAAAAAACATACGCTTATGAAAATTTGATACTTTTAGGATAAAATGATTTTTTAATTGAAACTTTAACCAGAATTTTAATCGTTCTATAATTACCTGATTCGTCGGCGACAGCGACGTTCTCGACGATGTTCTCGATCTAGATCGCGAGGCACTGTTCGATCTTAAAATCCCAACAGATCTCTCTGTCGATGGCCACTCTGCTTTCTTAAAGCCATCTTCTCCCGTTTTATCCATCCTGGCTATAACTTTTCACGGCCAAGTAACTGTTTCAATTAATTTTCGATCGATCGGTTCGAACAAAAGGACAACCTTCGATTTATAATCTTCTCTGCGGGAAGTTAGTTGCCGGAGATTGCATGGTAATTGCTTTTCCTCACCTCCGGCTCATCCGACACTCGATCGATCGCGGCCGACTCATAAATATTTAGAAGACGCGATTCTTGAATAATTATTGAACGATCGTTCGTTACTGAACAATCGAATTGCTTTAAAATCGAATTAACGTATACCGATCACGATTCCGTAAAGAGAATGATTAACGCGTGTAGCTTGAAAACTCTGTTGTTCTGGTCTTTCCACGGTCTCGTGACAAAACGGTCGCAACGAAGGCAGTAAACTAACTACGTAATTCTTTCAGAATAATGAAGCTTGCAACGTGATTACCTTATGGATCATAGTAGATACTAGCACGCGTTCAGTTGCACGCCACTAACAATGGCGAATGTAGCGCAACCTGAACGATATGAATTATCGGAGGAATTGGAAACAGGTTTGGCTCGCACGGCACAGTTAAACACGTTCGTAGAAATGTTTACAGATCATTTTATTAATTGGACGTCGTGGTCGACAACCGTTCGATCAACGTTCCAATACACTTCCACCCTATTCTGAAAGCTCCAACGTTTTCCGCACCGATTAACTCGATTCACTTTTGTACACTTAAACTGCCAGGGTGGAGTTTGCTTAAAGCAATAATTAATTTTGCTATAAACAAAATTGTATCGATTCTGTTTATTCGAATGCAAGCTGATTGATTTTTCTTTTTTCTAATGTTCTTGCGAACATTACTACTGGAAATGTAGAGTTTTAACAATGGACAAACTTTGGCGTACTTTCGAATCCACCTGAGCAGTCAAGGGCTAATCTTACTTTACACTTCTTAATTATTGTTCGAATGTGGTGCGCAAGGAAGATCTGTATTTATCAATCTTTTAGTCGAGCATCACGGATTCAATGTATTTCTCGCCACATTGACGAAACTATACTAACAGAATACCGTAAGTGCTACATCGAAGTTACGTATATTACAAAAGTACACTTTTTTTTTATACAACGCGCTCCTGCCCTGTGGCAATATTACCCTAAATCCAATATACCGTCCACGATACAATGTCCATTATACAAAGTGCTCGAGGTCCAGCAATATGTACAAGAACGACGCTTCATGTATGTACACTCGTCTTTACCATATGTTGATCACAAACGTTTTCCTCCGGTCTAGCGAAAATAAATTCTCCCAGGAGCTCTCCATCCTTTTTTTGGCACAAGCTTGACAGTTTAAAAGGATCACTAGTTCGTATCGATATTATCCGTCGTGCCACTAGCATCGGTTTCCTCCTTCCAGTCTTGCACGTGGTCGTCTAACGGGTACACTTTCTACTCGATCCTCTCGGAAGCTAAACAATTGCCTACGGGGATCTAAGATTTGTCATAAATGCTGCGCAACGGAGTAACGCGTATGCTAGTAGAAACTGATAACGTTACAGCGCAAACGAAACCATTGTGAACGAAAATTCGAAACCAACATTTCCTCCTATACCACATCAAAAACTAACATTCCATGTCCTATATAAACACCCTGCCGCGTTTTCCTCGCAACAATTATATTACTCGATCCCTAGCTTTTAACAACGTATGCACTCAGGTAGAACGACAGATAAGAATGCGACGCGTTAGCTGAATACAATAAACTCCATAAACTCTTAATCGTGTTCCCTCTAATTTCGCTAGCTTCAGTATTACAAGCGCGAACGATCGTGTTTCAATTGGTCGGTTCCTTTTCTTAAATACTCCGAAAAGACGTTCTTAAATTATTCTACCTGAGATATGATATGTAGAGGATATTTGAAATCTTCGTGAAGGCTACTTTTGGAAAGAAACTCTTCACTTGGTCGTGTGCCGAGCCCAAGTGGTACGCTGCACCTCGGACATCAGCTCGCTTCTAGAGGGCAGACGCGCGCTGGTGGTGCGCGACGGCGGTGGTCCAGGTGTCCTCAATATGGTCGCTAGGTTCTTCTGATTTTGGGGACTCTTGTTGTTCGCTATCTGGTTGGTCGAATTTTTTTCTTTCAGCATCGTTCGTTTGCCCGCAGCTTCCGACCGTTTACCTTGAGGCGGAGGATCCAGCACAATCGGCGGTATCTCGTCGTGCAGATTGATTCTTTCCTGCTTGCCCAGTATCTCTTGGGCCAGGTGTACAGCGTTCCTTTCACCGGAGCATGGTAAAGGTCTTATGAACGTCGACTTCGCGTCCTGAACCTCCAGGTTCATCCCGTAATTCTCTGACTTATGCGTCATTATAGGCGACGACGAGAAACTGTTCGGTTGGGAGACCCGCAGTGACATGGAACACGGAGACAGCTGGGCTGAGTTCTGCAAGATTGGAGAGTTTGCTTTATTTTCTTAATTGAAGCGACAGCGATTCGATTCGTACAAGACAATACAAACATGTTCAGTTTACTCACAGATGGTCTGCTGCTGGGTGGTAGCAGGAGACTAGGACCCATCGCATATGGAGATGGTGTATTGTACGGTGACCTTTGAGGCTGATACGGACTTATGTTGTGCAACCTCTCTAACAGCTGCGTCTGAAACTGCAGTTGCTCGGTGCTGCTGTTTGCTTGAATCCCCAGCGTATTCAGGTTGCCAGAGTACAAGGAGTCCGGAGGATAAGAACAGTAGGGGGATGGCGGATCCAATTCCCATGGTGAACCCTGTCCTCCTGTTCGTTGGCACTGATCATGGAATACAATGTTAGAGCACGCTTCCAAATAGGTATAACTCAACCGTATGCAAACACCGGTACAAAACGGTACCATTACAACTGGATTATCCATGCATAAACTCCAGATGTTTATCCGTTTGTGACCGTTTCAACCGTGCAAAACTAATTGCAAAAACAAGGTGTTCCATTTAGTACTTTTTAATAATTCAATCTCTACACACTGTGAGACGCTAGAATCATTTTGACTAAATTGGACAAAATGGCTTGAATTTTGTTGAGATATTAGAAAGATTAGGTCACTAGATATTGTATAAAACAATGTTCTCAAAACTCGCGATTAGCTGGAATGATAAAAAAAAAGGTAAGAAACTTACGTTATTTGTTTCCCGTTCAAAACTTTTTAGATATTGTCTAGTAAACTACTCCCTCTAACATCTGACAAATGTTCTAGTCGTTTTCAGCCACCAAATTATAACATACAGTTAACGTAATATGTTCTCCTTGAACCGTATTAGTTCCGTTAAAAAAACCTCGAGCTAGAAACACCTTGTAAAGTGACAAATACAAATTTATATAGTTTATATATTATATAGTTTTTTATAGTATATAATTTATATTATATATATAAAAATCTAACTATATAAAACTATATAATATATACTATATACTATATACCATATATATAGTATATAGAATATAGTATAGTATAGTATAGTATATAGTATATAGTATATAGAATATAGTATAGTACATAGTATATAGTATATATAGTATATATTATATAACTTTTTATTATATAGTTTAGTATAGTATATATTATATAGTTTTATACAGTTAGATTTTGTATAGTTTGGATAGGTACAAGAAGTTTCAGAAGATTCGAGAAAAGCGATGCTCGATACCGAATAAATGTGCATCAGGGTATCAGAATACTTGGCAGAGGGTGCATAGTAAAGATTCATAGTTGACAACGTTACCTAGCATTTGTTGGTGGCACAAAGTCCAAAGTCCCGTGCGAAGACCTGTTACATAACAGCGTCACACCGGCGCTTAGCACGATTATTGGATTAGCGATTCAGCTTTAATGCCGGCATTAAATTGCTATCTTCCTGTCGGCCAACTTAGGGGCGAAACGTGTCGCGCATAAGCGGTCGACTTTTCTCGCGTTTCAAAGACTGCTTACCATCTAGATTCGGTCTAATTGTACCTCGTGTAATGCGATTCAGGCAAATCTTTCTTTTCCCCACCTTGAGTGGAATTAAACACTGTCAGACGAGGATTCAATAATTTTTCGATTATCGTGTGTGATCTTCGCGGTTATGCAATTTGTGTGTACGAAACGATCCGATTATGCGTGAGCAGCCCACCCACACGTGCAAAATAACTAGAACATCGGTCGGATTAGCGAACATTCTTTAGCGGACATTTTTAGGGCAATGCAACAGAATCATTCAGCATACACGGGTACGTCATTCTCCAACCAAGTAATAATCGAAACAGAAGACGTTTACAATGTCGCATGGAACCCTCGTGCGCTGTTCAACTTTATGCGGAAACAGCTTTACGATTAATTATATCTTCGATGTTTAATGTTTTAAATCAAAAAAAAATTCATGTAAATAAATATTCATGTAAATAAATCAAAATTCATGTTTTACATCACAGAGCAATTAGCAGAGACATTTTCATGATAAATTGAATGATTTTCTGTCAGATTTTCATACGAGAATGTAAATAAGTTTGACCAAATTATAATTGAATTTGCTCCAAAAACCAAATTACAATATAAAGCCAAATTATAATCGAATTTAATGTCGAAGAATAATTAGAACAGCGCACGAAAGTTGAACAAATGAAAAAGGTGTGTGAACGTGAATTGTGTAGACATCGAGAGATCGTTCGACGTTCTTCTTTTCCGATGATCGTGTGAAGGGTGCGAAACAGAATAGAGAAAGGGTGTATGGAAATCGGTTTATTAAGAAATATAAAAAAAAGGCTTCGGTACAAAAGGCGTTACGGTATAAAAACGAAAAGAAAATTAGGACAGTACAAAATACACACTGTTAAACGTTAATCGAAATGCAACGTTCGCACACACACACGGCTTGCTGGCTGTCGAACACTTGTTGTCAGGGTATTCGATAGAGCGTTACCTGGCCGAGGTTCGACAGGTCGGGAACCGTGGTCGTTTGTTGTATCGTTGTTGAACCAGGCATCTGCGACTGCGAGCTGACGTGACCGCTCGAGATACGTTCTTGTTCTCGAAGATGGCCGACCAGCGCGCCTATGTGCTCCAACAACTCTTTGTTTTGCACCAACAACTGATGTGTTCTTGCCTAGTGGGACAAACAATTTCAACAAATTATTTGGGCACTAGATCTTTCTCAAATTGTTACACAATCGGTACCAAACGTTTGTTGAACGTCTAACAAACGTCGACAACTCTTTGTTCTGCACCAACAACTAATGTGTTCTTGCCTAGCGGGACAAACAATTTCAACAAATTATTTGGGCACTAGATTTTTCTCAAATTGTTATACAATCGGTACCAAACGTTTGTTAAACGTCTAACAAACGTCAACAACTCTTTGTTTTGCACCAACAACTAATGCGTTCTTGTCTAGTGGGACAAACAATTTCAACAAATTATTTGGGCACCAGATTTTTCTCAAATTGTTATACAATCGGTACCAAACGTTTGTTGAACGTCTAACAAAACGGCATTCGAAGCTGGTATCTAATTTATTTGTTTGTAACGGGGAGAGAAATGAAATTAAAGGTAAATGTTATTGAATTCTTTGTGCAAAATAAAAATGTGCACTACTTGCAATTCTTATGAGTTGTGAAAGCCGCATAAAAGTATTTGTAAATTTTTTAAATATCTTTATCGTTTTTATAAATGCCGTTCGAGGCCATTCTGTTATAGTTAATTGAACTGGTGTTCATTACTTCAGTAATCTTAATTCTAATCTTATTCAGTAATCAGTAATTTTATCATTTAAAGATAAAAGTCATCGATCCCCTTAAAAAATTTGTTGCCTGCTATATTTTCCACTGCGAACCAAATCATATGGTTTCTATTAATGATTTCTGTTCGTACGTTTCCGAGCACCGTGTAGATCCAGAAGTCTTGCCCGACAGTATCGAAAATCCATTAAACAAGTGTCAAGTGTCACTTACTTGAGCTTCGACACGAGCTGCTGTTTCAGCTGCAAGCTGATCCTGAAGCAATCGCGCATGGGCAACGGCGGCTCTGGTTTGTTGACTCTGTTGCTCTAACCGCTCCCGCAACAGTTGTATCTCATGCTTCAGAGCAGTTAATTCGCCCCCAACGAGTAATCCTCCGCAGTCGGAGGTTACCGTGCCCTTTGAAAATAATCGAGAAACGTCACGCAAAATCCTCGCTTTTCATCGAAATAATCAAAACCCCGAACACGTTCAAGTCTCGAGCATCCATTACACTTTCTATATTAACGATTAATCTTAAAAACATTTCGATAGCAACAACTGAACCGCAGATTTTTATGCA